CTTTTAAATTCTGTAAAATCTGTGATAATGTCTCCTAGATCTTAATATTGTAATTTTTAAAATGTATAACTGATATTGTGTAACAGAAAGAAAAGGTCTAAAAGAGCAGGGGAATTGGGAGGGGTAGGGGAAGGGAAAAAATGGAAAGGAAAAAATATGAGAAGAGGAAAAAAAAATGGAAACAAGGTCTTTGCAAATAGGGAAGGGTGGGCAAAGGAAGGGGAAAAAAAATAAGAACCAAGAGACTCATGTAATGGTACAAGATCTCAATGATGAATGCAACTGTATTTTATACCTAAAATGTACCAATAAACTTAATGAGGGGGGGAAAGATGTCTTATGTAGAACTTGCTGGGGACTTTAATGTGCTAACAGCCTGAATCACCAAGAGGAATGTGGTATTTCCCCAATTTATCTAACCATGCAAATCCTTCTTTGAAACTTGCATGTCACTGAATTTTTTTTTTTTTTTTTTTTTTTGGTACCGGGGATCAAACTTGGGACCTTGCGCTTGCGAGGCATGCGTCGGAACCATTGAGCTAAATTCCCAGCCCAATGTCACTGAATTTGTGTGTTGCACTGTGAAATACGCTTGGGAGATATGGCAATCCATTTTTCTCTTGAAACATAGATTATAGTTTCCCCTGAGATGTCTGAAGTACTATAATAGTTAAAAAACCAAACCAAACCAAAAACAAGGAGAAACTCACTGAAGCCATGTCACTAAAATTTGATCTCAGAAACCAGCTGTTGCACCACAGTGGGAGGGACAACTAGGCACACTTCCCTGTGGTTAAAGGCATGCCATCTGTTCAATTCACTGTTTTAACCAATGAATACATAAGCTTCTTACATTAGTTTGATATGAACTTGACATTTAGTTTCACGTGAGATACAAACTGCAACCCTAATCATATGGAAGGCAATCTATACATGTCTGATTTATAGAAGACAAGAAAGAAAATACAATTACCAGGAGAAGTGGTCATTTTTGTGACTGATGCTGAAATTATAAAACAAACAGAAACTTATAAGATTTTTTAATTTAAAACTGATACCTCAGATACATTTAAATTAGATGCAAAATAAGTTCTGAAATATGAAGTTAAAAGTAGAAAAGTTTTCTTAGTTGAGACTGAAATACAGACAGAAATGTTTGAAGACAGGAACTGAGAAATGTTCCTTGGTTGTGGGAAAAATACCCCAGGATGGATTAGAAATGTCATTTCACTGATGCAATGAGGAGGAATTATTTTCTAGAGTGGCAAAATACTGGGAATCTTCCTAATTCTACCTTTAGGCTTCTGTCATTAATTTCTCATTTTTAAAAATGAAATTAGGTTTATAGTAACAAGTTATCAGAACTCTAGAGGAAAATGGCTCCTTTTTATTATAAAACATACTATGATCCCTGATTCAATGTTTTTCTCCTGCTCATGATCTATCATAAACTGCACAAGTGATTCCAACCCTCTCATTGGAATGTCTGATGGTAGTCTAGTTCAGTACTAAATTCTGAGGACCCAGAATTGTGCCTGACACACTGAAAGTGCTTGATAAATATATATTGAATTAATGGAGGAATGAATTAAATCTTATTATTCTAGTCTCTGCCCTACAAATATGCTGGGCCATGGATATTTTCATTTCATCTGATTTCATTTTCTATTCAACTTTTTAAACCAGAGAAAGAAGAAAACATAGACAATGCACAAATTGGGCTGAATTAAATAAACAAACAAACAACAACAACAACAACAACAACAACAACAACAACAAAAACCATCTCAAACCAGAGAGGCCAAAAGGGAACAGTATTGCAGTAGATGAGAGGAACTGGGTTTTGTTCATGGGATTCCCAAGAGCAGCACTATGAAGTCAGCTTTAAAGTTCATAAAAGATAAGGACAAAGACCAGGAAATGCCATTACCCCAGCTAGTGGCTGACAGAGGGAGTCTGGGAAGTCCCTGAAGACTGAGGGCTAAGGAGAATCCACGGATGTTGAGTCAAGCCCAGGGCCAATCAGCACATTAAGAAAGAGACTAAGGAAGATGAGAGGTCTCCTGGAATCTAGGTCAGGGTATGCTGTGGGGCTGTTGTGCTACACATCCTTTTATACCCACTGCCCGAGTAAGTCTCAGAACTTTGAGGATGGACACTGGGCATCTGTTTGGAGGACCTGAATGAGACCCAAACCTCCTCATGTTAATTTCCAGATCCCCACCAAGAGTCATGGCTCTGTCAACCTCAGGAGAAAGCTGGGAGTGAGTACCTGAGCAGATGACCCCAGTGTCCTTGTGGTGGCCACAGTTGTGGACAGACAAGCCCAGATGGCAGCACTGGCCTAATGAGGTCTCATTGGCCTGGCATTGCACGTCATCCAGGAGGATGCTCCCAATACCCTCCCCAAAGTGGCTACTCCCCAGGGCACTGATGTCTTCTCCATAGCCCAGCTGCCAGCACACCACGTGGGCAGCATTGGGGGCCCAGAGTTCATTGCACACAGTACCCCATGTGCCATTGTGGTAGACTTCAACTCGCCCTTCACACTAGCTCCTCCCATGCACCAACCTGATGTTGGGCAGATCTGCAGAATACTCAGAGGTTATGGTTGGAATGTGACAGGCAATTACGAATGGGATTTTTCTTTAGTTACTAATATAACATATCCCAAACTCCAGAGCCTTAGAAATTCTTGCTTTCTGCTTCTAGGTTGCAGAGAACTAGGTCAAATTATTAATGCCTGTAAATGCAGTGACTGGTTTTTCTGTGCTACTTCTGATCTCCAATATTTTGTTCCATCTTCCCATCTTTTGATTGGGAATATGGTAATTACAAGGTTAAGGATAAATATCAGTGTTGGGACTAAGCCATCAAACTGATAAGCAATGGTGTCAGGATTGCCTATCTTAAGTTTTCATTATTTTTTCAAGGAAATATGAGGGTAATATAACCCTAGAAACTGGGATGGTGGGTGGCTTAAAGGTCATTGTTTAAATTTCTCTGTTTAAAGGTCTCTGTTTAAATGTGGCTCAAAGAAGCAGGGTGTAAACAATTCCTCTTAAGCATTCTCAACTGGTGTGGGTTGTCTTACTTGGCTAAAAACTCTGAGGCAGTAATTTTAACAGAACTTACCTTCATTACTAAGGTAATGACAACAACCAAATAGCAATAATTCTGTATATTTGTGATTTGTTGGGTGGAATCCTGGGTGGAGACTGACTGGAGATTTGGGGTCAGCAGAGTACTCAGTCTTCTTAAGTGGAAGCTTCAAAGTCAGCTCCCACAAACTGCTCATTATGATTTTGATATGAGGTCTCCCAAAGACCCATCCATTGAAGGTCTGGTCCCCAATGCAGTAATGTTTAGAGGTGACTGGATCATGAGGACTCTAACCTCATCAGTGGATTAGCCTATTTAATAGATTCATAGCTGAGTGAACTATTGGCAGGTGATTGAAACTGCAGGAGATGGCCCCTAAATGGAGAAAGTGGGTCCTGTGAGGTATGCCCTTGGGGATATTTTGTCCCCTAGCTCTTTCCTCTTGCTCACCATCTCTGTTTTGTGACTGCCTTGAAATTAGTAGCTTTCCTCCTCCACAATGATGTTTCTGACTCATCATAGGCCCACAGCAATGAGGCCAGTTGACCACGGACTGAAACCTCTGCAAACTAAAACAAACCTTTCCTCCTTTAAATGGTTATTCTCAGGTATTTTATCACAGTCACGGAAAGCTGACTAATACACCAATTCTTGCATCTCATAGCCCTTTCTTATTACCTTCCAATCACAGATTTTTAGGTGAACTCAGACATTCTCAGCACTTCTTTAGTAGCAGCCATTTGTAGGGTAGCCTGAGGCTATGGAGGAGGGTGGGAATGGATGGCACACATCCAGCAGGGATGCTTCTTCCCACAGCAATGCTAGAATAGTCCTGAGCTCAAACTCTCCAAAGGGAGGGTTACTGAAGACAGTAGAAAGGATTACCTGTTGATGTGGGCACCTCCAGTGGCTTTGAAAAAGATGCTATGAATGGATAGAAAGCACAAAAAGAAAATTATACATTTTAGTTAAATCTTAAACAGAGGTTAACACTTAATTACAACCTTTAACTCTTAGACAATTGTTTCTTGTAGAGAGTCAAGGGCTGTCCACATTTTGAATCATTTACAGATAGTTTCTGATTCTAAATTGGATTCCTTTCTCAAGTCCTTTCTCTGTAGGGTGCATTCTTTTCATCCCCCAACTGGTGTGTGAACAGTATAAATATAAGCCAACTCACACAAGCTCAGGGAAACCAAAGGTTGGTGGCTGATAAATTTTTCCTTTTTTAAAAAAAGATAATTTTAAAGTCAAGAGCACATCCTTTAGAGATCTCTGCTATGCAGAATGAGCTACCTTAGTGCTTCCTCTGAAAGATTGGGGTCATTCATTCTCCTAGCTTTCCTTTGCTTGTTTGACTCTTCTCTTCAAGTCCTACCATCGAAGAGCTGCTGACTAAAATTGAAATGTAACAACTACTGGGCCAAAAGGAGCCAGAAGCAAACTAAAAAGTGTTATTTTCAGCATCCTCATTCTTAACAATTCTGCAGGTAGACTTGTTTCTTTGAATCATCAATGTACAATGCCTTGTTTTGGGAAGAAACTGTACCCCCTCTGGGGTCCAAGAAAGGCCTTGAGTTACCATGGATAGAAAGCAGTATATAGACACAAATCCCTGTAGTACTCAGGGCTTGCATGAGGTCAGAAGATAACACCTAAGCAGCATGCCCTACTGTATAGCAAGCATTCCCTTAGCCATCCTGCCCAGAGAAAGCCAGAGACCCCATCCTCCTCAGTCTCATTCAGAGGTATCCAGTAGTTCAGAAATTTGCTTGAGCACTCACAACTGGTAAATGATGAAGACATGGCATTTGGTTCCTAAATCAAATCCTACTGCCCAGGGTAACTTTGCCAATGCAAGGTAAAACTGATCAATTAAGAGCAAGTAACATTACCTGAAGTTAAATAACTCACAGCAGCTGATGGTGTTGTGTAAGGCAGAGAGCCTGTAAAAGACATAGGACATACGGGTAGGTTGTCTCCTTCATTCTTTTTAAATTCCAGATGTAGGCTTGCTTATTTGAAACAGAAAGGTATAATGTCTCATTTTGGGGAGAAACTGTACCTCCATCTGGGCATCTGAAAATGGCTTTGAGTTACATGGTTATAACCACTGATGTCTTGGATCACTGGGCTCATTTCTGTCCTGCTGCCAGACACAGTAATGTCATTTTCTTTTTCTTTTTTTTGGCAAACTGTGACTACAGTAATGGTCACCTTGTGTGGAGTATCTACCTAGCCAGTTGGTTTGGTTTTGTAATCCTTTCTGGGTGTATGTGTAGGTATTGCCTCCCAGAATAAATGTCTATTTGTAAAGAAGAGAAGCACATTATCTCAAAGACACACACCAGTGACCTCAATGCAGGGAGGGTGTGGAAAGGCCCTGAGTGGGCTATGGAGCTGGGCCAGGTGTTCCAGGTGGAGATAAAATAGAACCCGGAGGTGCTGCTCAGTGGCCCTTACAGGTGACTCTGATCTACCCCTGATAGCAAGGGCCCTGCTTTCCAAACCTCCTGGTCCTTTAATCCCTAGCCCCATCCTGTGATTCATACTTGGTATGTGACTTCAGCTCCTGCTTCACCCAGAACACTGATTCTGTCCCTTGACTTCCTTCTTCTCATAACCGTCCAGTATCTCCACGAACCTTGTGCCTTTATCCTATCCCATCTAGCTGATAAGCCATTTTGCCTCTCCCAAGAAAGATGTAGAGATAGGTGGGGACTTTTGACTTCAACTATTGCATTTATTTGCAGAAACTTAGCTGGGATAAAACCAAGGAATAAGGGCCTTGGGCTAGGACCTGGGCTCCCAGCTGTTAGGAAAGTTCTTCATGTTACCTATGAAATAAGGGATTGTATCCAAGAGATGATTCCCAGAGTTGTGACTCATCACTGGTGGGACTGTGATAACTTGAGGTGGTGCATCTTTTATTTTAAAACTTGGATACTTACTGTATTACCATTTGAAATTCACATTTAGTTCTACTCTGAATTAAGTGTATTTTCAAATAGGCATGGGTATGAGTTGATTAGATTAGAAAACTTGCTGGTTATTTTTAAAACATTTTAAGCATGGTTTTATTTCCTCTTTTTAATGTATTGTCTATTGGTGGCAGGTGGTCCTGGCTCTCTGTTTAGAACGGTAAAGTTATCAAGCTTCCTTCTAAGAGGAATTTACATAAGTAAAGCAGGAGAGTCGTTTAAAGGAAAGTATTTTGATGATTACAGTGTGGGTAACAGGTGGGCATGCAGGGGCCCTGAATGGCTGATGTACAGGAAACAGAGGCCTGGGGGCTATCCAGGATCCCCTACTTCTCTGTGACCAGTTGGGCAGGAGGCTCCTGGAGCCAGAATGTCACTAGTCCACTCTAGGCTCAGAACCCAGGCCTACCTGAGCAGATGGCGCCAGCGTCCTCATGGTGGCCACAGTTGTGGGTGAACCAGCCACTGTGCAGGCACTGCCACAGCCTGGCTTCTGTCCCCACGCAATCCACGTTGTCCAGGGCGATGGGGCCCACGCCTCTTTCAAAATGTGCCTGGCCAAGGGCTGCCACAGCCCTGCCGCAGCCTAGCTGCCTGCACACCACCTGGGCATCACGGAGGTCCCAGCTGTCATCACACACTGTGGCCCAGCTGCCATTGTAGTGTAGCTCCACACGGCCTTCACACTGGTGGCTACCATTGGTCAGCCTGAGGGCCACATCTAGGGAAGTCAGACATACTCTGTTACCACTCTGGGGGCACCCCTTTGCCACTATGCTAGAAGGAGACAGGCATTTCCTCTGAGTCTGCTCACTTTTGAGGGCTCTACCCTCATGCTTGGGGAGAGAACCTGTGGCTTCAAGCTGGTTGCAAAAGCACTTTGGGTTTTTCTGTTATAGCAATGTGATTGGAGGGAGGGGTATTTAAAAGAGTTTGTTTCCCATACTGGATTGTTTACTTAGGACTCTTGCAAGCCTTGTGTAAAGTGACCATCACCAAGTATTCCAATGCTATTGCTGCTCTTAGTGTGGAATGACACTTTTTTTCCACATGGTTTTGAATGAAACAGGCTCCAAGATAGGGTAAAACAGTATCCTTTCTCAGTACTGTGTGCTGTGCCTCTAACATGAGAAGCCATGTGGGGATATGGTATTCCAGGGGAATGCTGGTATCAACCAGTTTCACCAAGTCAGACCGTGTGAGCATGGGAAGGAACTTGCAGGTCAATAGTGCCCAGCAGACTGAGCCATCAGCCTTACCATCACTGGCAAGTAGTTACGGAAGAACCTACCTGTGTCATTCTCATCTTGCTCCAGGGACTCATAAGATGCAAAGAAACCAGTGTTGGTGATGATTGAGTCACTATGGAACACCACTGTCATTCGGTTTGATGAGGAGATAAATGTTGGGATTGCCCTGGAACAGAACCTTCCCAGCAAAAAAGATTCACTTTGTGGGCCATCAAAGATTTCAACAAAGTCATATGGACAGCCATAGAAATTTTCCAATCTGCAAAGTGAAATGGTATCATTCAAACTTCACCTATTAGAGCTTAATCCCTCAGTCAGCATTGGCCCAGATTGGCTCAGGAAAGGCTGGAAAAACTGTAGGTTAGAAGAAGGGGTGACCCTAAGGACACTGGCAAAATGTACCCTCCTGTTTCTAAATATATTTTTACTTTTAAAGTCAATGGTATTTTCTGAATATGTATTATAAGCACAGGAGATAGAATTTAAGTGGTATTGATAATATTTGGTGAAAAGTAAAAGGATGTTGTTTTGCCCTGACCTCTTGTTCCTTACTTCACTCTCCTCCCCAGAAGCAGATTCAATGAACAGTTTCTTTTTTCTTCCCAGAGAGAGTCTATGCAAAAATGGAAGCAGACTGCACTATCATTCATGGTTTTCCTACAGCTTACTCTATGGTAGCATGCACTATATGTGTGACAGCAGTATATGGATTCAAGAGAATCTATTTACCTGATCCCATCCTGATGGATAAGTACATTGTTTCCACTCTATTGCTAACCCATGAAGGTTGTTGTGATGACCCTTAGTGCACACGAGAATTTGTCTATAGACCAAATTCCTGGACTGGAATTGCTGCATTAAAATATCTGTGAACTTAAATTTTTGATCAATATTGCAATGAGCCATCAGGACTAGCTCGCTCTTGAGAATTAAGTGTGGAAGTCTTTTGGGAAGGATAGAAGAAGCAAAGCAGTAAAACTGGTGAGCATAACTGAGTGAAGACAATAATACTAGCGGGGGATATTTACTCACTTGGCCACTTCAAATGTAAGTTTGACATGAGAGGTTTTGTCCACTTGTATGTCCCAGGCACATATCACATTTATGGGGTACTTTTTAGGGTACCAAGGACTGGAGAAAGTGCCTGAATTGTTTGTGAGCAAACCACCACAATGAAAATCTTCATCTGTAAGAAACAGTGAAGAAACTCCATCAGAAAGGGGCACTGACCTCTCCTGGTGTTTTTAGTGTGGTGAGTAAAGGATACAAAGAGAACAGAAATAAGGAAAACATGTTCTCAGGCTGCTTTTGCTGATCACTAAAACTGTTATCTTTGGAGAGTCCCCTAAGCTCCAAATGACATCGTCTTGGGCAGATGAAGATCATTGCATATTTTTGTGAAGAGAAAATGATAATATGATTGAAAAGGCTCAATGATGTGCACAGATAGTAAAAGAAAGAAAAGAGTGCAAAGTCAATGCAAGCTACAGTATCTTTTCTTAGTGGGGCAGGTGATAAAACACCTATACAGAAGGCTCTTAGTTGTATTTGTTAAAATAAGTAATTAAGAGGTCATTAAACTGATTCATTACTCTGAGATCTTAATAAATAAGCAAATTAAAACACAACTCAGTATAAATGGTCTCAATCAAAAGTTGCCAACTAACTCCTAACTAGGGATTAAAATGATCCAAGGAAGGCCACTGCACCATGTTCATCAATCAAGTTCTTTTTTTTTTGCCTCCAAGTCCACCCTATCAAAGCCTCTGCCACTCAGTGGAGGCCAAACCACTGTACTCTGGAACTGCTCAATTCAAAACTGCTATCTGCTCAAATATGTTTAACATTTTATCAATTATATACAAATTCTAGCTGAAATTAAGACCAAGATTTCTTAAAGCACCCAACTGTGGCTGAAATGTTGAGTATGGTTGGGATTGGTCAGAGGTCCTCTCTGTAGCAGCTTCTCGTATGTAAAAGGAAGGATGTCCATCTTGTTACTGATGAGCTAAGATTAAAAACAAAGCACACGCACACCTACATAAAGAGCTTACATAAAGTTGAAATACCTGTGAGTGAACTGGTATCAGTGAAGTCTGAAAATACACAGAAAAAATAATATCATGAACTAGGACCTCTATCCAGAATACTCCTTAAAAATACTCAAAAATATTGGCCCTCAAAGGCTCTAATTTCTGTGCCCAATGGACAGAGATGATTCTGGCTTTACAGGAGCTGGGATATTTGCACACAAGCCATGTACATGGTGTCTGACATATGGCTTGCTGAGGGCTGAGCTGGGATTTATATTTCCTTGTCCTCTGTGGCATCTCAGAGCATGATCATTGTGGAAAGCAGACAGCCCTCTCCACAGATGATCCAGACTCGGGGAGTCTCAGTGGCTGAGGGATTGAACCCTCCCTCTCTCCTACTTCTGTCCCCACCCTCTGCTGCCCCTTAGCTCACCATGCTGTCCACCCCAATGAGTTGCACTGCTCTTGTCCATTAACAGAGAATTTAATTGGACTATGCTCCAACTTCAGAATTGAATAGGAGCCAGAATTCATATACAGCAGGGACCCGGCAACTGAACTGTAACATAAAACAGTACCTTTTGGTCCTCCATTTTTATTGCCATCAACACCTATTCAAAATCAGAATGAGAGATGGACTGAATTAATTCATGAGAAAAATCAGTACTCTGTTTAAGATCAAACATATTCTAATCTGGGCAGCAGGGAAACTAGTATCATAACTCATTAAATTTGGCTAAAAGATTATTGCACCCTGACACTTTGTCCTTGGTGGCCTAAGTGGAACATGGTGTTTATTTGCTTTTGATCAGTTTCTAGGCTGACTAAGCTTTTGTAACAGAACTGAGCACAGTCTTTAACACAGAACCTCAGTGAGGCAATACTTGGAGAGTACTGACCTCCCTGTGATCTTGGATGTGCTTCTGCTGCCTTATCAGTGAAGGATGGAAGCTAAATAGTCTCTGTTTTCTCAGAGGTTGTGAAGATTAAATGAGAAAATGAGTGCACTGGTTGTAGCGTACAGTTTGATATGCATTATGCACTTGCAGGGCACTAACTGCTATCCTTATTTAGGATAGTGGATTGTCACTCATTCCCTGGCATATCCTTCCAGGTATGGGATTTCTGATGATATTGGTCCTCTATTTAACTTTCCAGGTAGGACCCTGAATACTTGACAATCTAAAAGAAAGAAAACTAACACTTAAACAAATTGACTTAAAAAGCTGACTCAAAGCCCAGAGTTTTCACTGACTAGTTGCCTGCTGGTGTTGACATCACCCTTCCCAGGAGGTGCTGGTAGGTGAGCCTCTCTCTGCCTGAAGTGTGCTCTGTGCCCATGAGTACTTACCTGAGCAGATGGCGCTGGCATCCTCATGGTGCCCACAGTTGTGGGAGAGCCATCCTTCGTGTGTGCACTGCCACAACTTAGCCTCATCCCCTGTACACTGCATTTCATCCAGCATGATGTGGCCGGTGCCTCCATCAAAGTGGCTGTGAGCTGGAGCTGAGAGGGCCTCGCCACAGCCAAGCTGCTGGCACACCACCCTGGCATCTGTTAGGTCCCAGTTATCATCGCACACTGTGCCCCAGGTGCCATTGTAGTATACCTCCACCCGGCCCTCACACCTGTGGCTGCCATTCACCAGTCGCAGGGACATACCTGGGAGACAGGAAAATGGAGACTTCTGAGCTTTGGAGTTGTCTCCAGTCTCTAAGACCCTCTGCAGGTAGAAAAATGTTCTCCAGTCCTTGGGCACATGTTCCCCTTCTAGACTCTTGGTAGGGTAGCCCTGTATCCTGATTTGCCTGAAATTGCCCTCATTTGTGATTTTTTTTTTTTTGGTACCAGGGATTGAACTGGGGTCCTTGCACCTGTGCAGCAGGTGGTGAAACCACTGAGCTAAATCCCCGGCCCTGTCCTTGTTTATGATTGTTGAAGATCATTTAATACCTGTTCAGTATTTCTGAGCTTTCAGAAGTATCTCAGCTGGAGGATACTTACACAGTCACTCTAAGCATAAGCCACCCAGAGCCCTGAAATGTTCCTTATATTCTGCTATAGAACCCAAGAGGTCTGTAAGTGTTGTGTATTGGATTCAGCTGGAAGCATGTGGGCTCGTTTGAGATAGTTTTGCTCCAGAATGATTTTTCCTATTGCATTTTCTTTTCATTTGGAGGGAGATATACTCACTTAGTCTCCTGTTGACAAACAGCTGTCAATGAAAGATAGAAGACCTTAGCCACCTACTTCTTCAGGATGCTCTTCAGAGGACAATGACAATGGGTGGCAGAGCAGGGGTGAAGATTGGGGCTGGAGGCTGCAGTGCTGTTAATGTGGATGTCAGCAGGGAAGGCGGAGTTGTGTGGTTAGACTTAGAGACTCCTCTCTTAAGGGAGGTGGACATGGGTTAGATACATCCTACCCCACCCCAGAGGCAGGTGCTAGGATACCTACCATTCTCCCTTTCGTCTTGCTGCACAGTGTTGTACAGGGCATAAAAGCCCGTGTTGGTGATCATGCCATCACTTCTGAACACTGCGGTCATGACATTTGAGGAGGAGAGGAATGTGAGCTCTGTCCCAGCACAAAACCTGCCCATGGAGAGTGAGGCAGCTTGCCATCCGTCAAACACTTCCACAAAGTCGTAAGGGCACCCATAGATGTCCTCCAGTCTGAGGAGATGAAAACTGAATTAACATCCTCAAAGAAATCCATGCAGTCATCCCCACCTCCTCCTTCAACTACACCTTCCTCTAATCACTAGATTTCCTAGGAGTTAGGTGACTGCCCTCCCTTCCTTCCTGTCTGGAGCTGCCTCTATCTGTCATACTCCTGTCTCTCACCTGGTCTACTTCAGCAGATTTCCACCTGGTGTCCTTGCTTTCAGCCTCTCCCACTCTATTCCTCTCTACCTTGAGTGTCCCCGACTCCGATTCAAATCTCTCTACTTCCTACGGTGATGGTAAGCATCCAACAGGTTCTCATTGAGTAAAAAGCTTAAGAAGATCCTAAGAAGAGAGAAATAATGGCAGCTATAAAAAGCTCCAGGGCCTGTTGGATGGACTCTTTTACCAATGTCCCAACCTGTCTGGCTCAAACCAACTGTTTCCATGAAACACTTTATCCAACTGGATGGTCAAAGAAGCTGTTCTAGCATCCTATCTTCTACCTTGCTCTAGCTTACCACCATAAATATATATCGCTTTTTCTTCATACCACTTAGCAATTCATCACAACCTGAAATTGTCCACTGAATTACTGATTTATTTGGGCACTATTTGTCTTTCAGAATGTGAACTCAGGAGGGTAGAAGTATCATCCATCTTGTTTGGTACTAGAAACCCATCCATAGATCAGGGCCCACAAGCTCACTAAATAAATGTTGAAAGCATATCAACATTTATCTAGCATGCTACAAATATGAAAAATGCACATTTGCTTCTGAACAACAGTGAGCACTCTTCAGTGCCTACATTATAAGTTTTCATTGTGCAATATACACAAAATCAATGCACATAATTACATTTTCCAAGTACATTAAGTACTAGATTTGAAAACCTGCTACTGAAGAACACATTTATTCCAGTGAATCAAAAGCCAATAGTTAATATTAACCCATTAAAAATGTTAAAAGTCATGATAAAATTTGCAACAAATTTGCAAAATAAAATTTGCAGCAACAAATGTGATATTAAAATGGAGACTAGATCTGAAGAATCCCTGAGAGATAAGCCCAGTAGGCCTCATAAGTGACTTCAACCTTGCTTGATTTGCAAATACTGTAAGCAAAACTTTAATATTTATTGTAAATGCCTGGATTAAAGAGAGAATGTAAGCCCAACCAAGAACAGTCAACAAACTTACAGTTACATAATTAGAGACATTCCAATGGGATAAACCAAATGCAGCAACTGTGTGATTTTAAACAAGTAAATGTTTTCTTTGTCTTATTTCTGTGTGTCCTATAGAACCTTTCCCTTTATAGGCCCTCAGAGGAGCTCTTAAACCACTTTTAGTGGTTAATACTTGTTTCATGAATCCTTGTTTGCAATGTAAATTCCTTAAAATTTTTGTTGTGTCTCAGTTTACCCTTTTAAACATAGGTGACACTTGTATCTGAGAAGTTATTTAATTAGAAAGCAGGATACTTTTAGTAAGAATGAAATGGCAACAGGTAATGGGGAAAAAATAAGAACCAAGATACATCATGTACAGGTACAAGCACCCAATGATAAATGTAAATGTATTGTTTACCTAAAATGTACCAATAAAAGAATTTAAGGAAAAAAAAGAATGAAATGGCATAATTTAAATGTAATGTAATTTTTACAGATGAAATACGAAGCACATTTCTATAGGAGTTGAAATAGAAAAGAAATAAAGTAAGCTTCGGGTAAATCAGGTTTTCTTAATCTCAACACTACTAACATTGGTGTTGGATAATTCTTTGCCATGGAGGCTGTCTTGAGCATTGTAGGACACATAGCAGCATCCCTGGTCTCCATCCACTAGATGGCAGTACTGCCCCTAATCTGATGATCAAAAATGTATGCATGAAGTAGGAAGATGGCTGCCAGTTCAAGTCCAGCCTAGGCTACATAATGAGTTCAATGCCAACCTGAACTATATAACAAGGCCCTGTCTCAGAAAACAAAACAAAGCAAAAGAAAGCAAAGCAAAGCAAAACAAAACAAAGCACTTCCAGACTTAGCCAAGTGTTCTGTAGGAAGGTATAATCACCCCTAGTTGAGAACTATTTTATAAATAATAAATAATTTTATGTCTTGAGAAACAAAAAGCAAATATTAATAAACTTAGACTTAAAAATATTAAAACTTGGGCCGGGGATTTAGCTCAGTGGTTTCACCGCCTGCTGTGCAAGCATAAGGACCCAAGTTTGATCCCCAGTACCAAATAGAAAAAACAAAAAACAAAAAACAGATATCATTAAAAAAAATCAAAACTTGTCAATTGGCAATTATGCTCTGGTTCTAGGCGACACATTAAACAACTCCTTGATTTGAGTGCTTCAAAATTGTAGAAGGAAGTTTATGTTGAAATAGCAACTTGTAAATTACAGGAGGTGTGGGCCACTATAGCTGTTTGGAATAACTATTTTCCAGAAAAGATAAAATGATAACTCTGTACCCCAAAACATTAGAAATGTGGATTTTAGGGGCCGGGGATTTAGCTCAGTGGTTCCGCTGCCTGCCTCACAAGTGGAAGGATCTGAGTTCGATGCCCAGTACCAAAAAAAAAAAAAAAGAAATGTGGATTTTACAAACTCAAATTTGATGATACCAAATCTCATATTGCTTCCAACAAATAAATGTGAGTTAAATGAATGAGTTAATTGATGATATATTTTCCTCACAATACATAATTTTCTCTGTTTATGCCTTCTCTACCAAGAGGGAATTAGCCACTAGGTAAACCCAATTGAAATCACCCATCACTGCCCACCACTTTTGCACTTTTTTTTTTGGTACCAGGGATACACTTTTAAAAACAGCATCCTGACTGCTGTGCCAATGTACACAAATGGAAAGCAGTAGCAGAGTTCTGGGATATACTGTGAGACAAAGTCAGAAAGAGAAAATGACCCAGATGTAACCCCATATACAAAGACGAAACGATGGCCTACAGAGGTCCTGAGTCGCACAGAACATGCCGAATCAGCCCGCTGCACACAGGAAGGTCTGTGCACTACCTACCGAGGTCCTGAGTTGCGCGGAAGACACCGAATCACCCCGCTCCAGACAGGCAGCCACCTGGTTCCACACTACAAAGACGCAGAGGTCACCAGACCACCAGACCAAGGTACTGAGTCCTGCTGTTCCCGGCCCAGAGGTAGGGGCTTCTGAGCCGTCGTCCCACTGCTCCTGGTTCAGAGGACGGGGCTTCCTGGTCACCATCCCTCCCGCTGCTCCCAGCCCACAGGAAAGGGCTTTTGGGTCACCATCCCTACCGCTGCTCGTGGCCCCTGGTCCACCTCATCCAGCTCAGAGGAGGTAATCCGTGCAGGTGCTAACAGCCCCCTGGCCCAGTCAAAATGAGAAAACACGTAAATAAGTCTCAAAACCAGACTTCCAGATCACCTACAGCAACCCCAAAGGGAAATGAGATGGAACACTCTGATACTCAAC